ATAAGAAATGTTATTAATTTTCTTCTTTAAAGTTATCAAATTCTCAACCGTCAACAATAGCAGGATCAACATAGCCTGCAATCGACGTGACATTCCGTTGATTCTGTATCGTTTCTATACCGTTCGGGCTGATTCTGGTAGAGATATACAATATCCAATACAGTAGAGAAATCTTAGGGGCTCCCGCACAATAAAAGAAACAGAGAACAGAGAATAAGAATTTCAACCTATCAGAAACTGTGTATTCCACAATTCATGATTTCTGATAGGTTGAAATTCTTACTCTCTGTTTCTTTTATTGTGCCTCTAACGGAGAAACTGTGGATTTTCTGCTTTAATTGGGATTGATGCCACCATAGTTGATGCGCAAACAAATATGACTAAATGAAAAACGGGGTCTCATCGCTACTGTATATCTTTATATTAAGAATTACGACATAAGACCGGAAGAACGCCATTGCCGGGTGCCACGTAGAAATAATACATAATATACAATACACGTAGAAATAATAATAATTCCACCATGATTGACAATTGATAGTTCGATTTCACACCTTCTACCCCATGAAACAGTTGCTCACACCAATTCACAGATTCACTACCTTATTGAAAGTATCCGCAAATGGCGGCATTTGAAGGGATCGAAATCTGATCAATCACGAGGTGAGCCCATGTCATGACTCTTAGGCCGAGTTCACTTTGACGGAAAAGCGGAAAGCGGAAAAGCGGAAGCCAATCAGAACGCATAATAGTAAGTGGTACATTTCATTTGTCTGTTTTTGTCTTTTCGCGAATTCTGATTGGCTTCTGCTTTTCCATCAAGGTGTGAACCCGGCCTAACACCTAATCTTTCCAATTCAGCCGTTCAAGTGACATTTCTTTTTATGATTAAAATCTACATATATTCTCTTCCACAATCTTTTTACAATCTTTCTAATTATGCCACCAATTATGTATAAATAAATGTACTAATAAATAATAAAATTATTTATTATATTAGTACTTACCTTAATC